ATGTCATCAAGGGTATTCAAGTGCGGTAATATATTATAAGAAAAATGGCAGAAGAATACCCTTTCAATGATATGTTTCCGGGTATGTGATCGGGTATTTAACGGTACGTTTTTGGATATATTCCGGGGTGTATAACTTCGGTAACTCTACATAGTAGAGATTATGGGAGTTATATACCCGCCTTCTTATATATATACTCGAAGTTGACTTGCTTTTTTCGTCACTTGTTTCATATCGGGTTTTGAATATATATCTAACTGATAGCATATTCTGATAGCATATACATGATAGCATTATCGATAGCGTTTGCGCGATATGTTTCGTATACATATTTGATAACATATACCCGATAACATGACTCGACAGCATAACCAGATAGCATGTATATAACATACCCGACACCATATACTCTGGCTATATACCTCTACAAATGATGACATAATCGCAATCGGGATCGTCAAACTCGTAAAACACGACCCGATAACATGTATATAGCATAACCGGATATAGCAATTGCGCGATTAATTTTTTCATTAAATAATCTGTGCAATATATAAATGACAACAATGCAAGATCGCAAGAGCGTGCTAACTCAAACTGTTGATAAATTATGACGCAAAAGATTGAGGAAGCAGACTGCAATATTAAGCCTATCAATAAACTCTTAATACAGGAGATTGAGAAAAGCTAGATCAAGATTACGATTCTGGATCTGAAGACGACTTAAAAGATATTATATCTATTCGTGAACCTGCAATCAAGAATCTTGTTACTACCAATGATATGTAAATCACAAGATGTAATCTTATTTTTTTATCTCCGCTGATCCACCCGTCAAACTCGCGATATATAACGAACTCGATAGCCCTAGAAATGTGACGACGTGAACATAAAATTGTCGTCATATTTTTTATAGGTCGTGGGTATCCAAATGTGACGACATGAACATAAATTTGTTGTCATATTTTTTATAGATCATGGGTACCTAAGAACTCGTGAACCAATCGTCACTCGAATGACGACACATATATGATCCCATCGTCATACATAACCTAGACTAGGTGGAAATAACATAAATATGTTATTTCCACTTGGTGTATCATCCACCACACAAGTAAAATTAGGTCTCTGTTTAGAACCCTTCACAGCATGGTTTAGCTGAAGTTCATAGTCCTTTTGTGGGCCAAGAAACATAAACAATGGATGTGTAAGTGGATGGAGGAGTTGGTAGCTGTGCTGATCTTCAGTCATCTTTGATGATGAAACTGCTGGAACACTATTACATCTATATATTGGTAAAAACAAAGTGAGATATTTTGGTTACCATAGACCAACATATTAAAGGGCTAATGTCCTGCATACAGTTCATTGAAAGAACGAGCAATTGTCCTGCTTAGTTTTGACTTCCCACCCTCCATGAAGACATCTTTTCCTAGCACAAACTCATGACAAACATTATACAGAGACTCACAAAACTGGCTCAATGTTTGGATGAATTGAATGTATAGGCTTATAACTCCACAAATATCCAACCAAAATAAATAAAATTTAAACTAAATATAGTAATAGTCTTGCTTTATGGCTTTCAATGCAATTTTATTTTATTAAAAAAGACTTGAAACCTTTTGAGTTATGAATCTTTAAAGTTTATCAGTGCATTGAGCCAGTTTTGTAACCCATAACTAACTTACCTATTACAAGTGGCTCTCAATATAAGAAAGTATTTTTGCTGGACCCGATTTAAAATCTTATAACAAATGACTCTCATTATAAGAGATTTTCGATATAAGAAAGAAATTTGTTGGGCCCCGATCACTTTCTTATATCGAGAGCCACTTGTATTTGTAACATGTAATACAAACATCGGAACGCGTTCAAACTTACCAAAATAGATTGTTTACGCAAAAGATTATTTACACTTTTTAATTCATAATAAACGCGTATTTCCTCTCCCTCTTAGATTTTGTTGCATTATGAAGCCTATTTCCAAAGAAACTCATAATAATATCCTGTGTGACGCTGCGCTATAAACGTGTGAAGTATTCTCTCCTTTATTTCTGACGGTGTCCAAATCGAAATGGTAACACCAGCGCGGCTGCGGATTTCAGGAATAGGTAGTACGGGCACTCGTTGCACTGTCAGTGTTACGTACATTGTCAATAAGTGCATGTTTAGCATGTCTAATTACTCTCGATTCCTTTATTGTAAATAAATGAGTAGTCCTTTATACTCTGAAATACATTGTTAATGATTCATTCCCTGGTAATTATCGGTATAGCTGAGAAACCGTTAATCCCTATATCGATGAAGAATAATCGCCTCTTGTCCCGCGATTATTCGAGTGGCAAATTACGATAATTAATTGTTATGTAGATGCGTATTATTATGATTTATACCCAACGGGAGATTATCGGAATAATCCCTCGATGATAACCGACGATACACTCGAGAGCGATTACTTATCTAGGATTAACGTCATTCTACGGTGAAATAGTCAAAAGCCTTGACATTGACAAGGTCACTAACTGTACCCTAGACATTTAACTTGAATAGGAGGTACCACGCTCCGTCGAGACTAGTTAAATCCCAAGTGTCGATTACTTTCTGCTCTCCCGCAGTAGTTAGGTGTCAGCCGTGCTACCATCGATAGGATATGTGAAAAGTCAAGAACTGATATACAGAAAAGTTGTGGTGGACGACCAACAAAACTTAATGCCACTGATAAGTGTAGGCTACTTTGCACAATTACTTCTGGCAAGGCAGATAATGCTGTCCAGCTCACCTGTGAGCTAAGGAATGTCAGCAATGTAGGAAACTTAGCTAAACGGCTTCGCTTAGTTTTGGCTTGGGTCGACTTGGGATCAATTGATAACCAATATGATGATTTTTAAGTATCTTTGAGACTGTCGATTCACCAATTCCGAATTTGTGGGCAAGAGTAAGTTGAGTAAAACCTTTCTGTCTTAGATGACAATTTCAGCTTTCTCAGCTGTTGTCAGTGTGATTCGTTTGGCCTTTTCAATAGGTCTACCCGTTTTTTTCTCTTTCTGTTTCCTTTTTTTCGGGGTACGTTGGTTGCTCAAGTCTTCCAGTAAAATAGTGTTATCTAATATATTGCAATTATCCATCACATAAAATGTGTTTTAGAATGCAAGAAGGATGCGCGTTTATAGTTTATGCAAAGGTCTCACGACATATTAAAATAGGAAATTTTTGGTGTTACCCTTCTTATATTGAGAGAGGTTTCTTATAAAATCTCGGCACAAACTTTCTTATTATTATATAGAGAGAAATTTTCATAGTAAAAATCGGGACCAGCAAAAAACCTTTCTTATAGGTTATCTTTCTTCTTATTATTATTATATCGAAGGGTTCTTATATTGAGAGCCACTTGTAACAGTACTAGTTGCACTGCAGTATTTGTTTAATCAAGAAATCTTATGATAGAGCTGTAAGACTGCATACTAATATGATGTTATTGACCTTCTTGATTTACTACTGCATTCTATTTTTTTTTTTTGCACAATAAACATTTATTAACATATGATAAATATATACAAAAAATTTACAATTCTAATATAATACTTGTCAGTTAAACCCTTTAAAAAATTTTATGAGTGAACTAAATAATATGCAATATCCAAACCCTCATATTCACAGAACAAAACTGACATCTCATTGTTTCTACCAAAAAAACCCAAATAATATAATGATAATATGATTGACAAAAAAAATGAAATAAATAAATAAATGAAACCAAAACAACAAGGAAAAACCCCCAAAAAACTTTCTTCAAATTAAATAATATAAGTATACATGGAAAGATTATAACGTGCTCCATTGTGTCCTTGTCTGGCAGCCTTCTGACATAATTTAACAGCCTTTTGGATATCTTTTTCTACACCAATTCCATTCTTGTAGCATATGGCAAGTTTATACTGAGCATCAGAATATCCCTGTTGAGCAGCAGCACAATATAATTCAACAGCCTTTTGGATGTTCTTGTCAACTCCAATTCCTTTATAATAGCAGGTAGCAAGACTGTTTTGTGCATATGAATCGCCTTGTTCAGCAGCCCTTTGATATAATTCAAGTGCCTTTTTCAAATCTTTTGTCACTCCAATTGCATTCTCATAGCATACACCAAGATTATAAATTGCTTTAGAATATCCTTGCTTGGCTGCTTGTTTATATAATTCAACTGCCTTTGGTATATTTTTCTCAACTACAATTCCATTGTAATAACACCTGCCTAAATTACATTGTGCTCTAGCATGCCTTCTTTCAGCTGCTTTTTGGTAGTGTTCAACTGCTTTTTCAAGATCTTTATCCAAGCCAATGCCATAGTTGTAGCATATGCCTAGGTTACATAGGGCTTTGGCATAGTCTTGTTTTGCTGCTTTCTGATATAATTCAACTGCCTTTTGGTAGTCTCTTTCCACTCCAACTCCATTCTGATAGCACACACCAAGATTATATTGGGCATGGACACAACCTTGTCCAGCTGCTTTTTTATATAGTGAAACGGCTTTGTTATAGTTCTTGTGCACACCAATTCCATGCTCATAGCACAAGCCAAGACTACTTTGTGCCTTTGCATACCCTTGTTCAGCTGCTTTTCTGTATAGTTCAACAGCCTTTTCCATATCTTTGTTTATTCCTATTCCATGCTCATAACACATACCAAGACTGTATTGTGCATAGACATTATTTTGTTCAGCTGCCTTTTGATATAATTCAATGGCCTTTTTGATATTTTGTGCTATGCCATTTCCATGTCTATAACACATACCAAGATAGTATTGTGCAGAAGCATATCCTTGATCAGCAGCTTTTTGATATAATTCAACAGCTTTTTCAACATCTTTTTGTACCCCAATTCCATTCTTATAACAAACACCAAGATTATATTGAGCATAATAATAGCCTTGTTCAGCTGCTTTTTGATACAACTCAACTGCCTTTTTAACATCCTTTTCTACTCCAATTCCATCTTCAAAACATGCACCAAGATTATTTTGTGCTCTAGCATAACCTTGATCAGCAGCCTTTTGGTATAATCTAACTGACATTGCAATATCTTTTTCTACACCAGTTCCATTTTCAAAACATGTACCAAGATTGTATTGTGCAGGTGCATAACCTTGATTAGCAGACTTTTGATACAATGCAACAGCAATTTTAATGTTCTTGTCTACTCCAACTCCATCATAATATAATATTCCAAGATTATTCTGTGCCCTGGCATGCCCCTGATCAGCAGCTTTTTGATATAATTCAATTGCTTTTTTAATATCATTGTCTACTCCAACTCCACCATCATAACACACTCCAAGATTGTAATGTGCCCATATATTCCCCTGTGCAACAGCTTTCTGATATAATTCAATTGCTTTATTAATATCTTGTGATATACCAATTCCATTGTCATAACAGACACCAAGGTCATTTTGTGCTCTGGCATATCCTTGCTCTGCAGATTTTTGATACAAGTTGATTGCCTTTTCAATGTCCTTGTCAACTCCAGCTCCATTCTCATAGCAAGCACCAAGATAATATTGTCCACAAGCACAGTTTTGATCAGCAGCTTGTTGATATAATTGGACAGCTTTTTCAATGTCTTGATTTACACCAACTCCATTCTTATAACATAACCCAAGATTAGTCTGTGCCTTTGCATGCCCTTGCTCTGCAGCTCTTTGGTATAATTCAATTGCCTTTTGAAGATCCTTGTCTATTCCAATTCCCTTTTTAAAGCATGTACCAAGATTACATTGTGCAGGAGCATAACCTTGAGTAGCAGCATGTTGGTACCATTTTACAGCTTTTTTGATGCTTTTTTCTATTCCAATTCCATTTTTATAACATTTGCCAAGATTGGTTTGTGCCTTGGCATAATGATGCCTGGCAGCCTTTTGATATAATTCAACTGCTTTTGTAGGGTTCTTGTCTACTCCAATTCCATGTTCATGACACACTCCAAGGTTATTTTGTGCACAAAAACTTCCTTGTTCAGCAGCTTTAAGATACAATGCAACAGCTTTTTCTATATCTAAATCTACTCCAGTTCCATTATGATAACACAAGGCTAAATTATATTGTGCAGGTGCATAATTTTGTTTGGCAGCTTTTTGATACAATTCAATCGCCTTTTCAATATTCTTGTCAACTCCAATTTCACATTCATAACATACACCAAGGTTATTTTGTGCATTTGCATATCCTTGTCCAGCAGCTTGCTGATACAGTTCAATTGCTTTATAATCATCTCTGTCTACCCCAATTCCAGCCCTGTAACATAAAGCAAGATTATACTGTGTACAGGCATCTCCATGTTTAGAGGCTTCTTGATATAATTCCATGGCATGCTTAAGATTCCTTCCTAATACACGTCCTTTTTCATAGCAGACACCAAATTCACTCTGTGCATACAAGGATTTTTGTAAGGTAACTTCCTGGTGTAATTCAATGGTTTTTTGGACATCATTTTCAATACCAGTTCCATGTATACCAAGACTATCTTGTGCTCTGACATATCCTTGCTTGGCTGCTTTCTGAAATAGCTCAGCTGCTTTTTTAACATCCTTTTTCACACCTGTTCCATTCTTGTAGCATATACCAAGATTGTACTGTGCAGGAGAATAACCTTTCTCAGCAGCTTCCTGATATAATTCAACTGCCTTGTGGATGTCTTTTTTTAGTCCAGTTCCGTTTTCATAGCATGTACCAAGATTATTTTGTGCTTTGGCATATCCTTGATCAGCAGCTTTTTGATAGAGTTTAATAGCCATGTTGATATCTTTTCTGACTCCTGTTCCACTCTCATAACAGGCACCAAGATTGTTCTGTGCATTAAAATCTCCTTGATCAGCGGCCTTTTGATATAGTTTAACTGCTTTTACATGATTTTCTATTACTCCAGTTCCGTTTCTATAGCACAGAGCAAGATTATATTGTGCCGAGGCATGACCCTGTTTAGCAGCTTTTTTATATAATTCAACAGCTTTTTTATAATCTTTGGCTACTCCAGCTCCATCTTCATAGCAAATTGCAAGATTATTTTGTGCTCTGGCACATCCTTGGTCTGCAGCTTTTTGATAGAGTTCAACTGCCTTTACAAGATCTTTCTTCACTCCCATTCCAGTCTTGTAACATATAGCAAGATTATATTGTGCAAAAACATATCCTTGCTCTGCAGATTTTTGATAGAATTCTATTACTTTCCCTACACTTGTTTCCCTTCCAGTTCCAAGTATGACACATTTGTGAAGCTCATTTTGTGCAGCAATACATCCTTGCTCTGCAGCTTTTTGATACAGGTCAACTGCTTTCATAATGTCTTTTGTTATTCCAGTTCCATTTTTATAGCACATGCCAAGGTTATATTGTGCAGAAGCACACCCTTGCTCAGCAGCTTTTTGGTATAGTTCCACCGCCTTTTTAATGTCTTTGTTTACTCCAATTCCAATCTCATAGCATTGGCCAAGATCAGTTTGTGCTTTGGCATATCCTTGCTCAGCTGCCTTCTCAAACAATTCAATACCTTTTTGTACATCTTTTACCATGCCAATTTCACACTTGTAGCAGATACCAAGATTATATTGTGCCGGAGCATAGTCCTGCTCAGCAGCTTTTTGATATAATTCAATTGCCTTACTAATATCTTGCTCAAGTACAAGGCCAACTCCACTTTGATAGTATGTACCAAGAATGTTTTGAGCTTTAGCATACCCATTATCAGCAGCTTTTTGATAGAATTTTATGGCTATGCTGATATCTTTTTCGATTCCGAATCCATGCTCATAATAGGCACCAAGATTGTTCTGCGCCAGGAAATTATTTTGGGCTGCTGCTTTTTGATACAACTCAAATGCCTTTTGATAACTTTGTGCCATTACAATTCCATTTTCATAGAATAATGCCATATTATATTGTGCATCAGAATGACCGTTATTAGCAGCTGCTTGGTATAATTCGACTGCCTTTTCAATATTGATGTCTACCCCATATCCATACTGATAGCATACACCAAGGTTATTTTGTGCCCTGGCGTATCCCTGTTCAGCGGCTTCTTGATACAACTCGGCAGCCTTTTCTAAATTCTCGTTCACTCCTTTTCCACTTCTATAGCACACGGCAAGATTATACTGTGCAGGAGCATAGCCTTGTTCGGCGGCTTTTTGATATAATTCGACCGCCTTTCCAATGTCTTTTTCTATCCCGATTCCATTCTCATAACATAAGCCTAGTTCAGTTTGTGCAAAAAGGTTACCTTCTATGAGAAACTTTTGGCATAATTCAACGGTCGTTTTACCACAGGCTTCAATATCGCTATGATAAATTTGTGCTGGTGGGGCATCGACAGCACTTGGATATAATGACTCAACAACCAACGTTCTATCTATTTCTGTTCCTGGTTCTTCATTAGGGCATGTTCTTGGGTCCTTTTCTTGATTGATAACAGACTTTTCTACATCAACGCCATGTCTACGGCGCCTGTAAAATATTCGACTTAAATTTGCAATTATTCTTTTTGCCATCGTCCGAGTTGTTCATAACAGGACGTTTCGATGTTGCCAGAAGTTTATTATTACCACACGTGTGACCTAAACAGGATTGTTTGGAAGAAGAATTCTGTTGATGTTTTCCTATCCGAAATAGCATACATATATAATAAAAAACAGCAAAAAATGCTAACCTATTTTTGAGTCCCGAGTGCTGCGCAAAGAACCTTCCTGTAACCGAGGATTATATTTCTTTCACACGATTAAATTTTCTGTACTATTCAGACATGACTTAAATTTGCTATACAATGAAGGAATCCAATTAGCTCGTACAGTCGAAGACCTGTATTTTCTTAAACGGGCGATTTGAAGCCCCAATCATTTAAGAGGGGATGCGTTATACTTTGTTTATTTTTGTTTATACTTTGTAATAGGTAAGACATGTAAAACCTTGAGAGTCACGATCCCAACGATGATGCTCAATGTCAAGCATTAACAGTTGCTGCACACAAATATAAAGGCGTTATTTCATAGTGAATATTTAAGCCTTAACATAGTAAGAAGCCCGTAAGAAGATGTTAGAATACACATTGTCTTCAAAAATGCCATCGCCATTCTACTATTATTATCCTACATTTGTCTGTTTGTTATTGTTGCACTATATTGATTTGGTAAATCGTTGACTTTGAGACACACCTCCTCTGTTTCTCGTTTGACAGCGTACGACCGAAAGAGACCTCGAGCCTTTGTATCCGATGCTTATTGGCAATTAGGTATTTTTCAGACAGTTACACTGCATTTTACCAGCCAGTATGTATGCGATTATCGGTAAAAGATCTTTTAGTTTGAGTACTCTCGACCGCTTATCTAGAAGATTTAAGTGGGCATTTCATTACCGTTTTAGATGGAATAACGTACATTGGAAACGTTTAGTGAATATCAAAAAAGTACAACCAATACCCGTCTTGGTTGAAGTCGATCATTATATGGTCACTGATGCACGCGATTTCAGTTTAAGGATTAAAAGTTATTGTTCGCCTTCTATTTTAAGGGAAGGGCGCCAAGTGATTAATGTTGCACTGCATATGACTACATGTCGCGAAATTTCAGGGGATCCGTAAGCCACGACTCATAGTAAGTGTGTTATCTAATAATTACTAAATGCTAAACCTTTCTCCCTTAGATGGTTGATATGACTTTTACTTTCATTTTTAAACCAGAACCATTGTTATTAGACGACCTTGACTTTTGGAGTACACTTTCTCCACGAAAAAATTGCTTAAAGAAATTGTGTTAAAAATATTGCAATTCATTCAAGGCACAGGTGCTACTTTGTAACTCGAGTATTGGACCACCTAACACAAGTAACGAAGAGTGCGAACAGACAAATTGTTCAAGCTAACGTAAAGAAGTGAGTAGATGATTATACTAGAGTAATGGTATTAGTATGCTTAAACTTTGAACATGTCTTTTGACCAGACGTCAAATGTTGCTGATACTGCAAGTTAATACCATTGTCCTGTACATTTCTATTATCTATACGTAAATTGTTCTATCAAACTGAATACCCTGTTTGTAGGAATATTTTACTAATCGTTAAAATGCTATATGTTGCATTTATTTCTAACAATTCCGAAATCTTGATATTTGCTTTACGCTATAACAGTAACTTTCATGTCCATAGTATAGCTCTCTTCTGAGGTCAACAATGTTCGCAACAAGTTTTTGTGATCAACATTTAGTGATAATACATTGATAACATAATTATCGTCTCTGATTATTAACCTCAACTTACAGATGCTCAAATTGAAATATGCCACTATCGCTATTCTTCTTCGGTGTTTCATGCCTCAGGGTACTGGTTTCTTGTCTCCGGTAATAAAGTGTCATCATTATCTCAAATATTATTACTCGCGTTCGCCGTGTGAAACATTCAATACCTTTCAAGAGATGAATATGCCGTGTGAACGTGTGGCTTATTTACAAAATCCCAGTTTGATTGCAAACACCCAATAATGTTGATAGCCATTACCATTACTGATCAACAATTAGTGAACTATTTCGGCAGTTATATTAAGGAAATCTATTTCTACGAGTCAGGTTGATTAATCCAGAATGTTATAGAACGATGCAACACATCGCTTGCAACTTTACGCGCAGCCTTTCACAAAATGCCCTCCTGATATCTGCACTGAGGATCCGTTCTTTATCCACCGCCGCTCCTATCTCACCAATCTCACGCGCAATAGTATTCTCAACCAATGGTCCTCCTTCCTCAGTCTTGAAAGTAGTGTCATACAAACTCGCGCCCTTGACTCCAAAAACTGTTTATCTCAAATTCCTCGCTGCTCCTATCAATCCGTCAGATATTAACACTATCGAAGGCACTTACCCGATTGAAGTAAAGCTCAGAAATCTAGAAAAGGAAGGAACGGAAGAGGAACAAGAAGACAATGCAAAATATGTAGGAAAAGGAAGAAAGACGGGTGAAGAAAATGATAATGAAGATCTGGTTGCTGTCTGCGGAAACGAAGGTGTTGCAGAGGTTATCGCAGTTGGGAGCGAAGTTAAAAATATCAAGAAAGGCCAATGGGTTATCATGCGACGATCTGGGTTTGGTAAGAGTTTTATTCTCCGCAAACTTTAGTTAAATTGTCATCATCCACATTTTCTCTTCTTCTTCTATCCATCCCACTCCAATCTGCCCCCCCTCCTCTTCCTCTGTTCCTTCACCAATTCAAGGTACTTGGCGCACCTACGCTGCTGCATTTGCCAATGAATTAATGTCGATAGACCATACCTCCATCTCCCCAACCGTCGCGTCAACGATATCAGTCAATCCTTGTACAGCGTATAGAATGTTAAAAGACTTTGTAAAGTTGAGGGAAGGTGATTATATCGTGCAGAATGGAGCAAATAGCGCCGTTGGGCAGATGGTTGTACAGCTTGCGAAATCTTGGGGTGTGATGAGTATTAACATTGTTAGGGACAGGTGAGAATTGTGTTGGAGGAAGGACAGACAGACTGACTGAAAGGTTGCTTGGACGTAGAACCATAAATTCGACTCTGCCCAAAATCAACCGAATCTTGACTAACTCACGCTTATTATTATACCCATGTTCATTCGTAACAGACAAAACTACACCGAAATTGCCCAGCATCTTCGCTCTATTGGAGCAACACATGTTATCCCCAACTCTATTCTCACCTGTCCATCTTCGCTCTCCACGTTTGTCTCCTCACTTCCCCCTTCACCCAATGCTGTGCTCGGGCTAAACTGCACCAGTGGTCCGATTGCGACGCAAATGTGTAAACTACTATCTCCTTCTGCGACCGTTGTAACATATGGCGCAATGTCGAAGCAACCAATCCGTCTTGCTGCATCTCAGCTGATCTTTAAGGATTTTAGATTTGTAGGATTCTGGATGACTAGATGGTACAAGGACATGGAAGCAAAAGGAGGAAATGATAGAAAGGATATGTTGGATGAACTACTAGATATGTTTAGAAAAGGTGAAATCACGCTTCCAGAATATGAGGAGATTAAGTGGGGTCAGGAGGAGAGCGAAGAGGAAGCGTTGAAGAAGGTAAATGACATTTTGACGAAAGGAACAAAGATGAATGTAAAGAAGCAGATTTTTACGATGGTGTAATGTCATGGGTGGTAATAAGACTTTTGAAGACAAACAATAGACAGTGAATTGATAGTATCACCGAGAGGGGATGCGAATTCTGGCAAGTCGTAGCTCAATGTTTTCTCTTTCATTATTCAATTATGTATCCTGGAATTTTATTAATTAAAGTAACGATACAAGAAGAATTACAAACGTTTACTTGTACCTGAACCGTCGTGAATATACATTTCTTCTGATATATGTTCAAATTCGATTATTAAACATTGAGACTTTGTGATTTATAGGTTAGTTAAATTGTCCATTAAATAAAAGAGTCCTTTAATGAAAAAGTCGGTTGCAAGACAAAATGTCAATCTAAACGTTATTAATTAAAGTAAGTCTATTATTAGTCCAAGTTAGATAATAACTTGTCAGAATCACCAATCTGCTCCTTTATTCGGCTTCTACTGTTGTCGATATTCGCTCACTGGCATTCCGTGCATGGTACTTGAACCGGATGGTGTATAAACCGGCATTCCATGTATAGGCATTTGAGAATCGGACGTTGAATAGCTTGGCGTTCCATTCCAAGAACGTAGAGAATCATGCGGCGAATATGCTGGTGTTTCGGTTGCGGGAATTACATTTCCGGGTGTAGGCATTTGAGAATCAGACGTTGAATAGACTGGCGGTGCATTCCAAGAACGTAGAGAATCGTGCGGCGAATATGCCGGCGTTCCGGTTGGGGAAATTCCATTTAGAGAATCGGTTGTTGAATAGCGGGGTTCGTTCGCCCAAGATGGATCGTAAACTGAGGGAGCGAGTCTGAACGGAGGCTGTGGTTGAGCGGGAATTTGCTGTTGAATGGTATATGGCGATGATGGAGTGCTATTAGGATTAGCAACTCGAAGGGGTAGAGTGGTGGCAACGGCAGCGCCAGAGATATTATTGGTCTGAATCATATTTGTACCGTTCGCTCTACCGATATCTCCGTTACCGTCTTTCGCGATCTCGAGTGCAACCATTTCCGTCTTCCGTCTTCGCTTTTTTCTTTTATACAGTCTCCAAAACAACACTATCGCAGCAACAAATGCTACGGTTAGGGCCACGGCAACACCGATGACGACCTTGTGGGAGACTACGGTACTGCCACCGCTCCCGGGAGTGTTGGTTGGCGATGGGTGGGTTGTTGTACTATATATGTGTTTTGGTGGAGATTTCAGAAAAGAAAAAACGTTTACCGACAAAGATTTACAAGCAGATTGTGTTTTAACAGAATTGAGATACTCACGAGACTTGATTAAAGACTTGCCCGGCCGTTTGGCAATCGGCCTTGAAGGCTGGCAAGGGATCGACGATGATACTATTGGATCCATTATCATAGCACTTTACACATGCAGTGAGCATGTTGTAATAGTCTATATTGCACTGGCAAGCTGCCAAGGAAGGCTCTATCAATTCAGGAGGGCAATGGTGATTGTTACTAGGCGAATGGCAAATATATAATTGTAGACTTGATACAAATCCCGCATCCAACATATATGCGTTTTAATTTATACTTACTCACACCATAACTTCCGCTTACCGCACCGCTTGGCGGCGGTACAAAATATCCATCACAAGAAACAAGCGAGTCGTTTACCTTTTGACAAGCGTTCTGCGGGCCACTGCAGGGAGGGCTGCTACCTGACTGTGCTATAATAAGAGGAATAGCAGAGAGAAAAATGAATAGCAATGATGTGATAATGGTGAATCTAGCCATTTCGAGTAAGACTATCCTCGAGCGGCGATTACTGTTTGGGAGAGTATTTTTTTATATATTAATATAATGATTATTGACAATTTGGACAATTGTAGAATATTCGGAAGCCTACCTTGCAAAGACTTCCGGCCTTCAGTATCATATATTGCACGGACAGTCAAGAGCATTAGTCCGTTGTAGTAATATGCTGCTGCATATATATATATATATATTAGTAACACTTTACACAAACAGCATTGTTTTTTTCTTGCAAGATCGACGTTTGCATCCATGCTTTGATACTCCTGTAATAGTAAACGATGACCAAGTAGTCTAAGATTTTTGAATCAATGAATAAGCAATGGAGGTAATTTATCGTCACCTGTGTCAGGCGCACTGTAACTTGATCTTTCGATTGGCGTATACCTAAAACAAGACCTGTCGCAAGCGTTTTGTCAGGCTCAATCGTCAAGCAATTTTTGTTCATGGTAACATTGCTCTTGTTGTTTTGCGAACTTCTTTATCTCATCGTCTCCTTTTTCTTCAGGTCGTCATGATCCGAATTTTTGAGGACTAAATTTATTCGATGCGTTACAGGATTGCATTATTATGTAGTCAGGAATATGAAGAGTGTCGCTATTTAAAAGCTTTGTCGTTATTGGCTCGCTCTTATTGTTATATCGAGCGTAACATTTCTTATATATCAATATAAAACTGGTTCCTCTTAACACTCAATTTCTTTTATCACAATGGGTTTTACTTCAAATATATGCATTTCCTAAACTATAAACATACTAATAAGATATTAATACGACCGCTTAATTTGAAATACAACAGACACACTTTAACCAAATCATTGTCTCCATTAATCAGGTCTGCCAATGTTAATCTTTTTTGTATGAGATACTTGTGAATGGTAATACCCGTCGATGCCCAAATCATTTCCAAGACATTGCAAGTTGACCGATAATCAGTGTTTTTTTTTCGAGTTTTTCCAGAAATGTTGCGCCAAGCTCTGATGCAAAATTATATAATCCATAGCTGGAAAAAATAAGGACAAGTGCATTGCACATGGCTTTAGAAGTGTGCCATTGTCCTAATCCGACTCGTAATTTGTGTGTTGTGTTTGCCTTGGACTTTCAAGAGTCGCTGGTGGATTGCCTGATCTGCCCATATATCTAATGTATCTTCTTCAGCTATTCCCAAGTCCTCAAAATATGCTGTACAGGTCCTAAGGATATTTTCATTAGACGATGGTTTATCGCCAGCCTCGAGAATTATGACATTGGGTTTTTCCACATTGCAGCCGATTTGAATGGTTTCTACGAGCTTCTCATGGATAATATGCAAATCAATATTATCTGCTGACATGACCAGCCCTTTACTTGTACGTAGGGTATTTTCAGTGAATAAACTATGCCTCGCAGTAAGTTGGATTTTGTCGTCAGGGATTGAGTTTAGTGGTTGTGGAAGTCTAAATTGGAAGACCATACGAAGCGTCGCATGAAACGTTTTGCGAGCTGCATCATAAATATTACCATGTTTATACGTCGTTTCTTCCAAGTCAATATTGTCGATTACACACAGATGAACGGATTAGTTTGAAGTCGCTCAACAGGAACTGTAGCTTGCATGCGCTGTTTTTGTAACCGACGTTCGTGAATACTGGTGTGTGATGTAGCATTCACTGCTCTAAGAAATGTCCGTAACGATGGTAATAATTTTGAGAGTTCAGTAACGGAAATGAACCTTTTCGCCTGTGGACATAGTTGAATTCATCTAATATATCATTCCCAATCAGGGAAAATCGTTTTTGGCAAACCGATGCCAAAGTACGTGTGATCTAGACTTCAGATTTCTGAAAAACTCGTAGTAGTGACGCTGCTTCTGTCAACACTAATCCTTAAACACGTCATCTTTTGACCGATGCATGGAATTAGAGTCTTTTCTCCAACACCGACCAGCAATGTGCTGTACATTCATTCCCACGAAGATACATACGATAGTGTTTTTTACAGGAAGGTGTAATAAGATGTGGTCAAGGGAGACGGCCAGAGAGATTAGATGTCTATAATTTATAATAATAAGGGTGACGCATGTGACTTGATCCCATGCATGTCGTGTGCATGGGCTAGATTTTCTTTGTTTGAGATTATCTAAAAAAGGAGGATGGCTAAAGCGGAGTAGAACGTGACCTGATTCTTGCAATTACATTGGTCAAATTTGTATATCAACCAATGAAATTGTAAAAAAACTACTCCGCTTTAGCCTACCCCTAAAAAAGGGGTTTCCTCATAAGGACTTGTTGTAATTTGATATTTTGTAATAGCGATAGAGGAAATAGCTCATGCAAGATGATGCACGCGTTGAATAACTATCAAAGTGTAGATTACATATAGAGAAAATAGTGATGATGTTATACGAGCGAGCGAAGCGCATCGGTAAATTTGATGAGAACTATCGCATGCAAGGTTACGTTCTTTCACTATCGCAATGCACGAAAGAAAGGCTACCAGATTGAATAAAAGCAAATAACTATTCTCTCTAAAGCTGGGAACGAAAGATAATAATAATAATAATAATACTTTTGCTAATCTATCTCAAATAATAATAGTTATGATTCAAATAAGGTTCTGTTTAGTACGCGCACTCGGACTCCTTGCCAAACAGCATCGCATCGCTTGGAAGTTAGTCGACCTTCTGAACGCTTAGATTGCACTTTCACCTCAGACTATACTCGCAGAATACATAATACTCTGTTCCCACCCGCCTTGACCATAATCGGCCAGTTGTCTTACTATCTAACTGTTATTTTGTGTTAGCAAAAATGAGAAACTTCTTAAATTCTGGTTGGAGTAGAACATTACATTTATTAGCAGAGATTTCAATCTTTTTGTTTTGTACTAAATTTAGTACAGCTATTAAAATGTCTTTCGCGCCAACCACATGATTGATTCTATTCATGAAACTATCGTTAAGCAATTGATAGGCTTTTAGCCTTTTATTAATATTAGCCATCATGCAACGAGATGAATTAGTATAGGCTGGTGCTAAGATATGCACTCTTTGCTGCCACCTAATATCATATTACTCGTTCGCCCTATTACTTATTCGTGGTATTATTAACGACCAACTCAAAAGCGACAAAGTCCTTAAAGTCGTATCCTTTGTATCTAAATTTTATTACTTGCTCATATTAACAAAACTATCTGCAAAATATGCAAACCAATTTTTTAGTATACAGCCACGTGAATTACGTGAAATCAGCATGCGCAAAAACTTTTTCAGACCCCCACGTATATGGTACATTGTATGCAGGATATGAATGTGATGGTGCACCTTCTGTGTTTGGAGATGATCGATTAAACCGTAGTTGATGTCTATTCGATCCCGCAATAGAAATTAAATGCAAAGAAAGAGAGGGAAACAATAATATAAGCAACCGAACTCGCAGACACTAAATTATCGCAAAACACATAAATTTCACCTCCCCTTTTCACCTCTATTCATCCACCCTCTGCCCTGTCAAAATAAACCACTCATACACAGTACATTGAGAAAGTTGATTGATATTGTCCGTCCATTAGCGCCAATGGATACATCTCCCATCCATGAGCTTCCTCGCTCTCTGCCCTCTCCCTCATCTCCGTGACAATGTCTTTTATATCCTGAGGCAATACTTCTAACACTTCCTCATCTAGATCACCTAATGTGTTCGTCTCTCTATCGACAAATGTGATCTCAGGCTGCCTATCTTCAACTCTAACATCAAACGACGGATACTTTTGTGGCTCGCTTGCCCATTCTATTCGCATTCGCGTAGGTTGTGTTGCCTGTGGCACGTGTTCGAAATTGGTATGAGGATCGTAGTATTTAGGATTATCTCTTCGATGTAGCCGTAATTGAGTATTAAACTCTCTTATTGCCAAAGCACTCTGATACATCCAATTAGTCTCATCCAGTACCGCATGTGCCTTGGATGACGCTAGACTATTCGTATTCCGTTTTATCCCGTTCCCCCCCGGAATGGTAGACTCGCTGACATCGTAGTCTGAAGGATCGTCATCATACCCATCCGGTACCTCGGCTTCATAGTAATCATCTCTACGCCGTTTGCCGCCTTTGATAATTTTATATCCAAATACTTTGAAGGTCGAACGAGCAGAAACTAGGGCTATTTGACGATTTCTGAAATTCGATGAAAGGATGTTTCGATCTATTAAATATTCGCGTTCTTGTTCTGTGGCATATATACGTTTTAGAGAAGGGTTCCGAAGAAAGAAGAGATAACTATCGCGGAAGCCGAGGAGTTTAGCTGGTTCCATGGCCATCATATACCACGTGCTACCTCTTGTAGGAAGCTGGAAGACTGGTACCTTGAAGTGTCGGCCTTTTTTGATGGATCAGTGAGTGAGTGGTGAAATGAGAAAGAGGTTAGGCAGAGAAGAAAAGAGGCATATGAAAGTATAGAAAAACGATATGGAAAATAGAACGAGACATAAAATAAAGAAACATATATGGTAAGAAAGATGGAAGCATATCATGATCTGTCAAAGACCAACTACCACGATACTTCAATAAATTCTTATAGATATAGTAACACATTCCAACCGTAAACGATCTCTTACCTCCTAATAATAGTCCATCTCTTGTAATCTTTTGTTCACCCTTCTCATCTTCTGTATCTTTAGTTGCTACCGAGCTTTCCGTTGTCTTATCTGTACTCTTATCCGTCAATTCCGCACGTTTATTACTATCAACTGTCGCATTGTTATCTCTATTACCATCTTTGTCTTTCTCTATTTTACCCTTTTCTCTATTTTTCTCTTTCTCTCTACCTCTACCCTTTTCAACACCAAACCTCTTCTCACCAAGAACAATATTCTCTTTGAATCCCTCATCACTATTCTTCCTTTCTACCTCTTCGTCTTCATCCATACCCTCTTCCATAATGCCTTTTCTATCAATTCTTCCATTCTCCTTCTTCCGTCGTTTGATTTGCTCTCTTCTCGGTCGACCTGGTTTTCGCTTGACCGGAGTGGACATAGGTGTGCTATCATTATCTTCTGCACTAGCCTCTGCATATGGGGACGACGCTATTAGAGGTGTCGAATCCATAGATATATCCATCGACGAAATGTCTACCGATTCAATCGTGACTATGGGTTGAGATTGTTTCTTGCGCGAAGGCGGGCGAGGACGTTTTTTTGGACGACCTCGACTCCTGGCAGGACGAGGTATTGTCTGGCTTGTAGAACTTTCGTCTAGAGAGAGGAGTGAGGAGAGAGATAAGTGAAAGCGAAATCTGGTCCGTGCAAACGAAAGAATTACTTGATAAAAAAAAAGACTTACCTCCAGAGCTCATTTTTATAATTGTTTCAAAGTGGATTATGTTGAAGATCCAATAAAACAAGAGTTGAGGAAGAGCCAGTCTACGAGCTTAATCTTAAGCTTTGTCAATTGGGATTGATGGGTACTGTATTGATGTTCACGATTGGATATGTTCGCGTTTTATTTCCAAGATATTTGTCGCGCACGCGAGCAGCTGATATACGTATTTAGTGAGAGTCAAAATGTGTGTCCAGAAGTGTGTGTGAACTGCGAGTCCGAAATACTTTAGGTCTCGTGATCTATGTATGCATTCCACCAATTGGATGATCGATGAACGGAATAAGAGGAATTTACAGGTCGACTCGGCAAAGTATCATTAAACAACATGGCTACTGTTAGTATGGAGACAGACGACCAAATCGTGGCTCAGGATAGTTCTTTGGTTGTTTCTAATGCTCCAAACAGCTCTGGATTGACGGTTGCGTTGTGAGGAAAAGAACTTTTATTGCGTTCTGTTTCGTGTGATATGTGTTGTATGTTTATATACTTTTCTAATCATATCGATATATAGGCATCCGTTGGCTCTGCTCAATATATCTGATCATTATACAAGGATAAAGATGCAACAACAAGTTTCACATCCAAGAGGTTTTATATAAATGTATATTATATATTCAACGTCAATACTAGCAGGAAATGAATCCTGAGGTTCCCTAACGCGTTATCCGCATATGCGTCACTTATACAGTCATAGGGGCTTTGCTTGGGACGCAATCAGGACGCGAAGTCGAGATTACAAATTCTTATGAATTGGTCCATGTTGAGAGCGATGGGAAGATTATTGTGAGCGAGGACTATTTTACAAACAAGCAAGAACAATGTGAGTAGGCATATGAGTAAAAAAGTGAAGAAATTAGAGATGAAAAAGGAAACATTATGATTGATTCGCTTATTGTGAGTAAATATGCGGGGTGAGCGAGTTGATGTCATACATGAATCATATATTTAATGATTTCTTTTTCTTAGTTCGTCAGGTTTTCCCTCAGTTTGATTTCTTAGGATGGTATACATTGGGGCCGTATCCAACACAAGAAGACATCGAGATTCACAAACAAGTAATTGTTTTACTTTAGATGTTAGTTTGTCAGTGTACCCATTTGCATACTCACCTATTTATTATTTAACTTTATAGATTATGACTCTTAATGAAAGTCCTCTGTTCCTGCAGATGAATCCATTCGAGATTGTATCCTCTAAGAATCTGCCAATAACCGTGTATGAGTCTATAATCGATATTATCGATGGGAAGGCACAAACAATGTTTATCAAAGCGCAGTATAAGATCGAGACAGGAGAGGCGGAACGTATCGCAGTTGACCACGTTGCCCACACGTCTGCGGGAGAGGGAACCGAAGGGTCATCACGTAAGTAGAGCGTGGTGCGGGAGTGCGGCGAGCGCATCACAGGAACAGTTGTCGATGATGGGAGAAATGCTTTATGTCTTTTATATTAATGATGAAAATTTATTCGTTTCTACTGTAGTGATCGCCCATTTGACCACCCAGAGTAACGCTATTAAAATGCTCCATACAAGAATAAAGTTGCTACATCAGTATCTTCTGGATGCCAAGAATGGTATTGATTTGCAGTGTGTTCGTTATCATATAGTTAATCATTAGATACTAATAAAACGTTTTGTATGTACATAGTTTCAGAGGATGAGCTTGATTATGATATTCTCCGTCAAATTGCCAGTTTATGTAACCGGTTGCCTACGATCGATGGAGCAGAATTCAACCAAGAATTTTTGACCGTAAGTCGATGAAATTGATTTTTCGTGACGGAATAGAAACGATTTTGATTCAACATTATACGCCTACATTTCTAGGAATACAACGATGTGTTGCTTACGTCTTATCTCGCAGCCATAACGAAAGGAACGAATTGCATCAACGAGGTACGATATACAGAGATTATTGGCCGAAATCGATAATAGAATACGTGTAATCAATAAGAAATATTTAATCGCAATTATTTCTACAAAGGCTAACTCATCTTGTTTAATTTATTCTGTAGCTTGTAGATAAATTCAATCTTGCTAGTAGCACAGGAAAATCGAATCGACGTTAATAACTATTACCCATCACAAACCTGTAAAATAAAACCATTTTTAAAGCTCTTCTTTTCGAACCGTTGTTCATATTGATAGTATTATGAACACAACTATATATGGTTAAATAAGTAGTTGTATGTAAACATAGAACTATTATTGCATTAACACAATTTGGCTTTATCAATATAAACTTTCAATAGTGTTCAGTAATTACTGACATTGCTACATTCGGAACATGGATTGATTCAATTATGCTCGATTTACAGCACTTCAAATGTCATGGTTGAGAGTAAAATGTCCATTTATTTATTCAGGCGTTTGATAAATAAAATGATTTCGCACTGTTTTTAGACCATGTGAATCTTGGCCTGTAGCAAACCGTCCAAACTAACTGAAAAGATGTTTTTAAATATCAACGGTTAATAGTAATCAAGACAACAAAACTTGGAAGACGAAAAGATTGTGAACCTTACGATGACATTCTGCATATAGAACAAACAGAAAATTATATAACATTGTAACTTGATAAGTTAATTGATCCGACAAACTTACCTTCGTAGTCTTTATCAGGAAGCTTGGACTTCCATTTGACCGCGCTGGTTTGCGCATACTCAGTGGTTTTGGTCCGCATTTTCCATGTATGGGACAAAGAACCTGGGTTTCAGAAATCCAACCAATTGATTTACTTCAATTGTGATTTCAAACATCATATGAGGGGAAAAAAATTACTATTCATATCGACGCCTTTGCCAAAGGATAAGCATGATATCATGAGGCACACGCGCCAAAATCCCCGTTTTATTTTCTCTGAGAAGATAATCGGATAAAATTTGCACACATATAAATGGGTGCATTACTCTTTATCTCTCCGTGTTCATCACGACTTGCACTGCATCTTCCTTTTTTGGAAAGAACCAAGCCTGTTCTGTACTCTTTCTTAGCTCCATCACTTTAATAAAATATCATTTACAATCGTCTCGACAGAGCTGTAATTAGTAATTGAAAATTACGAAACTAGAGGATAATAATGACGTCTAGTCCATTGAGAGTTAACACAAATTTGAGCGAGGCTTTCCCTGACCCCGAGGAGGATCTATTCTGGCAGAAAGCTACAAGTGCAACCGACGACGATCGCAATGTGAGTTTGGGTTGACAAGGTCAAAAGAGTATAGTAAAACAGTAAATAATGTCTTATGCAAGATTGCGATCACAATGTGGATACAGACATTAGGCCAGACATGCACGTCCCCATTTAATATATGACTCGCTTTCATTTAGATCGATGCAATTTGGAGCCCTAAACCCAACAACGTCACAATACCCCTACCGCCCCCTCCTACAAACACCACACGACACTCACGTAAAGGGAGTAAAGTGTCCTGGGCACTGCTGAGCGAGTCTGAAAAACACGTCGAATTACTAGGTTGGTTGGTTGGTTTGTTGATATCTGAATATGGTTAGATCATTCTCTTCAAGAGATAGTGTATTAACATCATAGACTCGTCATATGCGATTAGAGACCAAATTGAAAGATGCTCAGACAAAGAACAGTAAGATAAGGCATGATAATACGGATGGTGAGTTTATGTTGTGGGAATGGCAAAAAACATCCCGCTTAGAGAATGTTGTAGTGAGTTGCTCTTTTTCGCACAACTTGCTAGATCGGACAAGGAAATAGCCACCCGACATTGATATATAGACAATTTATTGCTCAATCGTAATCTTATACACCCTTATACATGCTAATTTTTATCAGCTTTTCTGTTTATTTACGATATTCATCTCCACATTTGCTTCACTCTTCCATCCCATACCACCCCACAGCTCCTTCTCTCAACTACTACCCACATCACGCAGCCGATGCATCATCGACCGTTCACATCGAAGATGAGGATTTAGACCCGATCACAACCGATTCACACGATTCAGACGAAGGTTTATGGCTACTGTGGCAGACACGCAATCATCGCTCTCTCTCGGCATCGACCAACGATAACCGATGGAATAAATATTTCCCACTTCTCAATCGAAGCAATGTAGACGATAATAAAAGGAATAGCAGAGAATATGTGCATAGCGTACCATATCGTGATGATGAAGACGAAGCAGACGGAGTCATTGATATTGAGATGCTGGACGATGTGTTATCAAAACGGAAGATGGAACAGGAATATTTGTGGAGCGGATGGTGGACATGGTGTTTGGATACGTTTGTGAGCAAGTGTTATGTATGTGGGGTATGTGGGGACCGTGATGACGAATGATTGAAGGATGTGTGACTGCTGAATTGCTGCGGTTGTAATCCATTAGTATTTATTGAGGTGTTCATGTTCATGTCTGTGTATAATAATATTCTTTAATAATAATCTAGTAATAAATGCAGTCACTATTTATAGAATAAACTGAAATTAATTAAATGGCTAAAGCTTTTGGTCCCACCATTTAATATCTCCTTTGCGTTTGTAACAAATATTAACCTGCGCTGTACTGACCAATCAGCTTTCACGTAATTTGTTAGTTCCATTTTTCTTTCTGATTGAGGGGTAAGCCACTACTTATACGACGAAGTGTGGCCATTATCCATACATATTAATTCACTCCTTTTCCTGCACCAATCATCATTCCCTCTTTACCCTTTCACCTCGTTCGTAAAGAGCAACACAAACACCGCTACATCATTCCATATGATCAAACGATAATCCCCTACGGCTGATACCGCATTCGTGCCACGATATCAAAAATTGTGGCACACATCTGTACGTCATAAATAACCTCATTAGTCGATGTGTCTTTTCTCTCTTCTTCACGTTTATCCTGTCGACTCCAACTCATACATATCGCTATAATATCTGCATACAATGGTAAGATACGGATAATAAGGCATGCATACGATAGAAGATGTGCGCTGGTCACCGTTTTTATCCATTATGTTGCGACATTTCCAGCAAAATCTATTATCATTCTCGTTATCGTTTGGGATTACTTGACAGACAGATGACTGAAATGGCATAATAACTATAACGCGTGTTTACTCTCGTCATTCATAACAATCCACTGCACTTTTTATGTCTGATGCCACACTCCTTCCAACTTGGGTTTCCGCCTCTTCACGTGTGTGCATACTCATACATGAATACTAAATCTCCGACACTGAAAAAAAAAAAAACAAACCAAAAACTTTATCGTTAACACAGTCTCCCTTACTTTCCGCTATCCAGGCTGACCAATTGAATGACGAACAAGTTGCTGAATTTAAAGAAGCCTTCGCATTATTCGACAAAGATAACGATGGCACTATCACCACTAAGGAATTGGGTACGGTTATGCGCTCGCTTGGACAAAACCCAACGGAAACTGAATTACAGGATATGATAAATGAAGTCGATGCAGATGGCAATGGCACAATTGACTTTCCCGAATTCTTAACCATGATGGCCAGAAAGATGAAGGACACTGATAGTGAAGAAGAAATTAAGGAGGCTTTCAAAGTCTTCGATAAAGATGGGAATGGATTTATTTCTGCTGCTGAGCTTCGGCACGTCATGACCAACCTCGGTGAGAAGCTTACCGATGAAGAAGTTGATGAAATGGTAAATTTTCATATTGTGCGGGGCGTGGCGAGTGACAGATTAAGATGTTGGATACGTTTACCGAGTGTTCGATGTAGTATTCAACTACCTTTATCCCTCTTATTAACTAACCCTTTTTCTTTTCTATTCTTTCAGATTCGTGAGGCTGATGTCGATGGAGACGGTCAAATCAACTACGAAGAATTCGTCAAGATGATGATGACCCACTAATTTATTACATTTCATCTATTTTCTCGTAATCCTATACTAAAATAAAAAAAAAAAACTTCATGCATTGCTGTTTCATTTCAAACATATTTACTGCTCATCACTCAGCTTGGACCTTTGATGCATACATGTGATATACTATTCTTATATTTAGTTCACTTTTATTTTATTCCATTTCTATCATGTACTACACTTTTGGTTTTGTGATGTAGTGAGGAATTAAAGAAATAAGAGGAAAAGAAAAAAAAACACTTGGGTGTTTGGTCTTTGTTGGGCTTAGATGACGGGGAAATGGATGGAGCTGATATTGTCTAGTACGACTTCGGATGGCGATTCAGCATCGTTTAACAGATGCTTTTCTTAAAGAGAACAAGATCTCCGTTGCAACACCAGAATATCGTCATTAGACATTGGTTCCGAGCGTGATCTGCCATCCCTGATTGGACGATGATCGTGCAGTAAGGTTGAATTTTCATCCCTGGCTGTCAAACACTACATAAGGGCAATCCCTTAGTTGTCGCCTTGCCAAGAACTCTGATATTTGTATCACTTTACCACTCACTGAGCAACGTAAGTATTGTGTGCTACTGCATTATTAGACAACGGAAAGTTGCTTGCACACATGCGTAATGGATCGTGCCCCAACAGTTCCCCGATTTATATATGTTCTATTGTTATCTCCCCATCACTTTCGACATCTGGTAGATTAATAATTGAATCGTGTCATGGTCACCATCTGCATAATCAGTAATCGTAAATCTATTTGACGCTTAATTTGTGTCGCAACCCTGGCAAGCATTCACGCTACTCCCAGAACTGCCTACCAGAATAGATTATATACAGGATATGGCTTCAATATTACACGCCGTGCAGGTGGAGGACTTAAAACAGAAAGCTCCCAGCTCTTGACCATGGGCAAGTAAAGAAGAGCTTTCCGATGGACAGATTTGTACTTTTCCCGAAGTCATTTCCACATCCCTGTCCCGTAAATCTCAATTCAGGCCCATGTCGTTTGATCGACGTAGGATCTCCAAGGCATCAATGCTAGACATTGATCTGGATAATACCGAACAACAATCGAGGTTGGCTTCCGTCACTTTTCGCGACCTCCCAGCAGTCCTTAACTGTGACGCTTCGACCAAGTCAAGTTTGCAATAGAAATTCACTAACGTAGGAATGGCAGTAGAGCTATCTGGCAAGAGAAATGCTGTATCGAGGAACGACAACTCCACGCGATTGTACAGCTCTTGGCTCAGAAAAGAAAGAGGTAAAAGGGTATACGTACCATCAGCGGAAGCAAACTTTTCGATGACGCGTCTCCATCCGGTGGAAATGCATCCTTAAAATATGTATTAAAAGCCATTGGCTAGGAGACGAGTGCTAATAGTAGATGGAAATATGGTTGTTCATTAGTGTTTTATTGGGACATGCTGCAACGTGCATTTTGGATGACGTTCTTCTAATTTTTCCTTCTTCGTGCCGGCATACAATCAGTATTAAGGTTATAAATAAAGTATTCGGAAGAGGGGATATTTTGCTTATTTTGCTTTGCTAATAATTCAGCCCTTGGAGTTTAATAGTAAGCCTCCGGTAGCCGGCAACATCTTTCATACTGGCAACATATCAGCTGGTTCATTTCCCGCAGATCTTTAATGTGAGTAGCTGTCTCTATAAATAGGAGAAGCTACAGCTCTGCGTTCTAAATTCCAAGAGTCGATAATTGATTGCTTTCCCGCAGTTGTTGCTCGACACATTGTTCAAACAACACTATTTGAAAACGCAAACCGGCAATACAATTTAAATCAAATAGCACTCTTATCAACTGAAGATACCGTACGGTTCATTTTAAATCATGTAATTATTTTGTTCGTCGCCAATTGATGATGAAATATGATCTCTGTATACAATAAATTTATTTGACTAGTAAATAAAATTAGATAAATGTAAATTGAATAGTGCCCAACAGTTTAGATCTTAATCTAACAAAAACAATATGTAGTTTGTTATGAAGAATAATGTTTAAAAAAAGCCCAGAAATCATTATGAGTAAGAGACGTAGGAAAATCGTCGGTGACACAAACCTTAATTATAAGTTTACTAGCGCCTTAACATTTTGAAATTACAAAGTCTTAATTACCGTAATTATTTTAAGCTTTAAAAATTAAAAGCGGGAAAAGCTAGCGAGATTCATTGAAAAATTAGGTGAACTTAATGACAGTGAGGAATTAGCGAGAGTTGAAATAATAGAGAGGATTTTAGTCTAAATATTTTGTATAGTTGCGAATATCATGATAAATATATTACTTTTATAATCCAAAGGAGGGGGGGTTAGTACTAGGATGGAAAAGGATTTGATTTCTTTGGTAATTTCAGAAACACTTGCTTTTCTACTTTTCAATCAATAAAAGTACCATTAACAACCATCCGAGCTTTGACAACTCCAGGATTGGCTGCTTCGAATACAAATGCTGATACCACGTACTTTTGTAAACCAATCAATTTTTTAAAGAAAATTCCCAACACATACCCTTTTCCATTGTCATAACACTGAGCTTTGTTTAATCACGTTGCACTTGATATGGTCCACAATTTACCGTTGTTTTTCTATAGAGTTTTTTAATCAATCCAAAACTACCATCACACTTGAATCTAGTATGTCCAGGTACCATGAAATTCAATTCAATTCAATATTTTCATAATAACCGCAAATTATTAAATACCCACGTTGTTACAAGTAATATTTAGACATTTTTTACCTTTATCATTCCATCTAATACCAGGCTTAGTGTACATTGGAGCCTTTCCCTATAATTACGTCTTCATCAAGAACGTAATTAATTTGTTCGCGTACTGCTTCACTTGAATACCAAATAAATGCACTTTACGCGGACTAAGATAATAAATTTTACTTACCTGTTGATCGGAATGGGGTACGTGAACGTTTTGCGCTCAATCGTAACTGTAATGAGCGGTCGCGTCAACGCTACAATAATCAGCTTTATTTCTGTGTGCCTAATAAAGACCTCAAAAACTCGGCTTTATTTCTTGTTATAAAATGCTCATCTACTAATTTTCTCTGTTGTTCTGCTAATTTCATATTTTTGTTGTAATAGTTTTTCTGGTTTAGCCTTAACTAAATGTTCCCTGTAATTTTTCAGTAAAACTCTTGCTTCTTCTTCCTCACGAGCGTTATTTGTTGGCACGTATCACGTAAATCGGTTCTTGGACTCATAATTTGAATATAAGACGTTAATTGGTATCACAACTTGCGGAACGCATCATTTTCAACGTGCTATCGTTTTCGAGACCTGCAATAAAATCACAATAACTCGTTTCGGCTGGCAAAAGTGTAAGCGATTGAGTAATGCGATTGACATTTCTACACCAGGACTTGGTAATCCGTGTATTTCAGCATAGTTTTCGAGAAAATTCTTCACGGCGGTAGCAACGGTTGTATCAATAGTTATTTTGGTTTTCCATCGCGGCGCTCGTTTGATATTACCATGAACACGTGGTATTATACCATTTGTCGCCAAGTGAGTTCTTCATGTTCATCTTAACCATAATGCTGTAATCTCGCAGGTCTTCATGGACATAACCTGATCCTCACTGTTTTCGTTACTTTGTCTTTTACTGCCTCCTTGCCCCGAATTCCGCCATCATCATATGTGAAGAAAGAAGGCAATAACAATGAAATTGAAGAAATTAGTCTTGATAACGGTGTTGAAGATAATATTAGCAAAGAAAGTAGTAAATTTTAGATGCTCACCAGAGTGACCAAAGAAATAGGTTATACTCATAGATGGCTTTGGGACCGAGTATTTCCTCACATGGGTGCTTTTATTATTGTTTATATTTTCAAGAGCGATCGCATTGTATAATAAAGATATTAAAATAATGCTTACGAAAATTGAGTTATCGTTATGCAATTTGACCTTTTGTTGCAATTGTGTCAAGGTAATGAAATGCGAATCAAAGCTCGACGAATACGCTCAAGCAGTCTTTATCAACATAGTCAAAACTATAAAAAGTATCTTTTATTGATAGGTTGCTCGATCAATTGAGGCCTTTGTGCGGTGCGGAAACTTTACATTAAATTGCTTTCCTTTATGTTTCTTGTTTTATCATAAGTTGGCATTAATGCTCGTTTATTTGTTATGTATGGAGCAACTTTCTCCTTGAGCTTTCTTTGGAATGCTTCTAATTGTGCTACAATTCTTTGGTTTCATGGTGGATTTGATGTAAATTAGTTTTATATTATTATATATTTTATATAGACATAATCCTGTATTAAATGTGTTATAATTTTTAGTAAAGTTAAACTCCAGTCATATTTGCCATAACAAAATCTAAGACAATCTATGAATTTATGTCTAAGCCATAGCTGTGCTAGTAATTTCTCAGCCATTTTTAACATACTCAGTTCACTGCCCCAAATAATATCAAATGTCTTTAAAAATCCATTACTCATCAGTTGGTTGAGATTTTTGGTTCATTATATTCAGAAAAAAATGAAAGAAAAAAATAGCGTCTAATAATAGGGGGACCCTAACATAGTCTCAATAGGGTAAATTTTACATAAAAATTTGTAAAAATTATCTTTAAATATGTATTATTCTTCGTACATATCTGTTTTGCTACAATTTTTAGCTTGTTTGAAACCTCAAAATTATTTTAAGGCTAAAGCCAGATAACATAATAATAACAATCTTGAAAATGCACTACAAAATTAAGAGGCAAACTCGTCAAAAATAGGCCTACTGGTAAAATCTTTCTTCGCAGTCAAGCAAAACCCCATGATCAATTTAAAATGGTAGTACGGCGTCGCGCAATTTCAGTATCAGATACACCGTGTCGATTTTTGAATGTCAGCACAAAAGCCATTAGCTAACTTAGAATATGATTGGTTCTTCATAGAAACTACGATCATTTAATTATTTTTTGCTCCGTTTCGATTTTTGAGTGTCGCTAAAGGTATATAAGCGACCTTATTATTATCCCATCGTCGAATTCTCATGTTATTCATGTTGTCAATGTTATCGAATGTTGTTTAGGTCATAAAAACAATAATTTTACTCCGCGGAAATTCGATTCCTTTTGAAATTAAAATTTTACTTTCTTTCATTGTTGAAATGTTAATTATTTGACCGGACACACTAATAAGCGGCTCAATCAAGCTGTAAACGGTTCATTTAAGCTGTATAAGTTGTCTGCTGATCTAGAGAGCCAACAATTATTTATTGAAGCGAATATCGTTCAATTAGTTTATTAAGAGACAGATGACAGAACCCGACTAGTCGAAACACCAAATCGAAGATAGCTCTGTTTAAATATTAAATAGATTTTATTCCCCTTCGATTCTACGGTAGAATAATTGTTGTTATTCTATCGTGGGTACCCTTATTTGGATTACGAGTGACTGAAGCTTGAATGAGTAATTAAGAAGCGCGTTTAATTATTAAATTAGGCTTGTAGATTTAACAACTGCCGTAATAAAGGCGGTACAGATAATTCGACCCCTTTAATTCGAACGCCTAGAGCCGGAACCGTTTTTCGATATTGTATTCCTTCCTCTTATTCGAACGACACATGATTTTCTTATAATTTGATTCGAACGGCCAGAAATAATCATTGGCATTGTTAAAACATTCCTTAATTCGATCAACAAGCCGATCTTGCCCATCTAAGATATCTCCTCTTTACGTTAATTCGAACGCTATCGTTAATGCCTTTAATTCGAACTTAATATACAGTCAGACCTCTCTAAATGCAACCTCTCTTAATGCAACTTTTCTCTAAATGCACAGCAATTGCTTGGTCCCATG